CCGCGGAAAACCACGCGAAACCGGCAACGCTCCTGAGTCTGACCTGGTCAGACTCCAGGGGCTGCGGCGGCAGCGAGGACTACGCCACACCATCCGTGCCTGAGAGCCACGCTGCTGCCCGGCCGCCAAGTCCGCGAAAACTACGGCTCCTGGCATGCACTGGCAAACACAGTCCGGCCACCCAGCAGGCGAGCGCCGGAAGACTACATCTCCCAGTATGCCACGGGAGGCACCATGGCTGACCAGAAGCTCCGTGCTTCAGGACTACAGCTCCCAGCATGCCGCAGGAGGCAGTTTTCCTGCTTTTCGACCCTGAGGGGACACTGTTTTCGCTTCCGTCCCTGTCCGTCCCAGTCCCCGTCCTCCCCCACTGGGGCAGCCGGAATCTCCGCTGAGCCCCCAGCACAGCTCCAGGCAGCTCCCGCCACCCCCACTCCGACACGGCGCGGCCCTGCTGCCACCACTCCGTGCGTCCGACAAGGTCGCCGCCGTCCTCCTTGGGGCTTTCCCCGGGGCTCGCCGGTCGAGTGCGCAGCCCTGCCACCGGGCTTGGTGCTCCTAGACCCCCAGTGAGCCCCCAGCTCCCGCCCTGGCAGCCCGCCCATTACAGGGAGGGGCCATCGCCATCAGCCTCACTGCCCGCACCTGGGGCTCCTCCAGCCCCGGCCGCAGCTGGAGCCCAGGAGGAACAGGGGGGGTATGGCCCGACCCCCACAGTGCCTCACCTCCTCCTCCCCTGGGCTCCATCAAAATACGACCCCAGAGCACACAGGAAAGCATTGGAAAAACTCTGCAATGGGAAAAAGATGAACAGAAAACTTTGTGGCATGTTGTAAGACAAAGAAGGATCTGGAGCACACAAAAGGGCTCAGGGGCAACCCTGAATGTGAACTGAGAGGTACAGAGGGTGTGGGGGCAGGCTCCCAACACATACGAAGCGCCTCGCTGCACACCAAAAGGGTCCTAAGGCCTGTCATGGGGCTCAATGTGGCTCATAGAACAGTGCCTGCAGGCAGCCCCTCACCCTGTGGAAACCCTGCCTCACAGCACTGCTTTTGCTGGCCCTGGCCCTCAACCCCAGACATTGTCCACATAGCCGAGAGTGCTGACAGCAAGTCCAGGAGCAGCCTGGGGACTTCACAAACAAGGCCCTGGAGTGGTCCCAGGTGCTGCTGGGATGATTGGAAATGCCACTGACAACTCTCAAGTTTCCACAGCAATGAAAGGGAAATCCCCTACAACTCTATGACAGCACAGGGATTCCTTTGAGGTGAATCTAAGACCCTGGGACCAACCCCCTCATACCATGTGTAACCTCCACCCCCAGACACTGTCCTCACACACTTTATTGAGCGCAAAGGGACAGCAAGAACCACAGCCATGAATGCAAAGAATAAAGCAATCATTTAATTAATTAATCAACAAAAGCAACAATTGAGAGTCAGTCTGCCACAAGGCTCTGTGCCAGCACACTCCCAATTTACCTGCAGCACCTTAAGACTCATTACTGGACCAGCGTTCATTAACCCAGTTGCCAAGAGTTGGTTCCTGTTACTGCTCTTGATGTGGCAAATCACTGAGGAGCTGTCCATGTCCTCCAAGATTTCTCCTTCAAAGATAGGGTTCAGGTCTGGTATCTGAGAGGAAAACCCCTTATCTGATCTACAGGTGATTCTGCCCTACCCCTAGGCAAGAGCCCTGCGAAAAACTTTCACAGCTCTTACCTCCTAGCCACCTCAGCAGTTTGGCTCACTACACTGTGCCTGCACTGTATTAATCCCAGACCTCAGGTTGGAGCACAGAACTGAACAGGGGGCACAGGGGAAGGTAACTGTAGCGATTCTAACAGGAAGACTGTTGTGTATGGAGGAGTTGGTGATCCACACAACAGTTAACCTGAGAAGGCACAGGCCTGGGCTTAGGTTGGCTTTCAAATCTGTGTTGTGCCAAGCATATTTCTTGCTTGTAGGATAAATTTAGGCAGTTTATCATAACAAAAGAGCCTGTAGGCAGCTCCCACTTCACATTGGCATTTACACCATCTGCAAGCCCTTGTCTTTTATCTTAAAGCGAAGCAGCAGTTTGTCATGTGAACCTTCTTCTGTTTGATAGTAGAAATAATGAATGGAATTCTTTTCTTCTAAGAGAATCCCGTAACAGCTCCAAAGACAAAGACGTCTGCAGAACAGACAGGATCTGCACCATGTGCCATGCCCTGACTGGAGGTACCTCTGATTCTGCACAACTTGGGGTTCCCGGCATTTGAAAGTGATATCAATAAAGATTAAATTAGTTCATTTTACCCTAACAATACTTTGGCATTGTAAACCACGATATTGCTAAGAACAAAACCCCAAACTGAATGACAGTCTGCTTTGTTAAAGGTCCGTGAAGGACTGCTAAGTGTTGCCAAATTTAAGTGAAACTAGAGGAAAGGTAATTCTGGCAGGCAGAGATCAGGACCACCAACTCAAGGAACCCAACATCTCAAAAGCTTAAGGAAGTAAAGGTCTCAAAAAATCATAGCAGGCATGTGTAGTTATCTACATGATAGGCAAACCAATCATTTAATAGAATAACAATGAATATGTATTAGCTGACTAAATTTTGTATGTAAATAACTGTCAGTTTGTACTGATGGTGTGCTGGTTTGTGCCATGCACCCATATCTGTGCCTTTATGTAATAAAACACCGTGACTCTGTGTGTAAATTTGGCGACACACACCAGGTAACAGACCCAAGTTTTTGTGACAACAAAGGGACATAAGATTATGTATACTATCCCGCTTTTCCTTCTAGAGTCAGCTTCAATAAATGGAATTTCAAACAATACCTTATGGACTCCAAGTGCCTTTTCCTCTGAGATCATAACAAAAACTACTCCTGGTGCATTACAGTTACAAACCCCAAAGAAGGTTTCACAGTCTACTGTTTATGGTTGAGGATTTAAGTTTATTTTCTAAGGAGTTAGACCTTTCTATTTAACAGTATGCCATTAAACCTGAACCCTAAAGTGATAAACTGTAAATCTCAGAATCCAAACAATCACTGGGGATTGAGAATGTATTGATGAGGTTAGATCTAAAATCCTGTGTCCTGATCAGTAAAAGAGTAAACTGTAAACTCCAGTTGATAAACACTGAGCCCTAAAAATTAAAGTAATAAAGCTCAACTCTCAAGTGAGAAACCATGCAAAACAAACTTTAAACAGCAAACCTTAAGTGAAAAATTCTGAACTCTGTTTTAAGGGACAAATTCCAAAGCATATCTAACCAGGAAGACTGTAACAAGAAGCTAAGTAACTTTAGCCCACAGTTTTAAAATTTTGCCCTTTATTGGGCAGAGCAGTAGAACATGAACACACCAAGAATACTTTACAGTCACTGTTCATACGCTTGGTTTCAGTCACCATTCACATGTGACCATATGCATGAATCAATCCATACGGCTGCACTAAGCTGCACTTCCACAGAACCTACCTACACCACTGAGAGCAGTAATTCATCTCCATTGCAGACAATTAATGTTTGTGGTCCTCTGAGCTCCACAGGCAAATATCCAGAGCCAGTGGGGCTACATCTGGCTGGCAACTGGTCACCAGTGGTGTTCCTCAGGGCTCAATTCTAGGGCCACTTCTGTTCAACATTTTTATCAATGATCTGGATGCAGGAGTCGAACGCACCATTAGCAAGTTTGCTAATGATACCAAATTGGGAGATGCCATTGGCCCTCTCGAGGGTCAAGAGGCCTTGCAGAGGGATCTAGATAGACTGCAGCATTAGGCAATCATCAATGGCATGAAATTTAACAAGCATTCTGCACCTGGGATGGAGTAACACTGGGCACATGTCTAAATTGGGAGAGGAGTGGCTGGAAAGCAGCCCTGCAGAAAGGAACCCGGGGGTGCTGGTCAGCAGCAGGCTCAATAGGACCCAGCAGCGTGCCCTGGCAGCCAAGAGGACAAACCGCATCCTGGGGGGCATCAAACACAGCATGACCAGCCGGTCAAAAGAGGGGATTATCCTGCTGTATTCAGCATTGGTGCGGCCTCACCCGGAGTACTGTGTGCAGTTCTGGGCCCCACCATTTAAGGAGGATGTGAAGCTGCTTGAACGCGTCCAGAGGAGGGCAACCAAGCTGGTGACAGCGCTGGAAGGCATGTCCTGTGAGGAGCAGCTGAGGACTCTGGGTTTGTCTAGTCTGGAGAAAAGGAGGCTGAGGGGCGACCTCATTGCTCTCTACAGCTTCCTGAGGAGGGGACGTGGAGAGGGAGGTGCTGAGCTCTTCTCCCTGGGAACCAGTGATCGGATGCATGGGAATGGCTCAAAGCTGCATCAGAGGAGGTTTAGACTGGACATTAGGAAGCTTTTCCTTAGAAAGAGGGTGGTCAAACACTGCAACAGGCTTCTTGGAGAGGTGGTCGATGATCCCCCAAGCGGGTCAGTGTTTAAGAGGCATTTGGACAATGCCCTTAATAACATGCTTCAACTTTTGGTCGGCCCTGAATTGGTCAGGCAGTTGGACTAGACGATCATTGTAGATCCCTTCCAACTGAAATACTCTCTTCTATTCTATGACACCTATAACCACCAACCAGCATCTCCTTAAGGGAATTGGTACCTGCTGAGAGACAGAAGCATTTATGACAACCAGTAAGACAACTCCTGCAGTCACTAACACTGCCTCAAAAGCCTTTTCCTCTGGCAAGCAAATCCCACCCTGAGGACTTACTGGAAAATATCTCACAGACTGGCCAAGGGATGCTTGGGCACAACAGAGGAGGAGATGGTGATGGCAAAGAACTCACTGGGAAGCCCAAAAGAGGCATCATGGAACTCACATCCCAGAAGAGCCATGGGGGACCCCTATGTCCTACAGGAGGAGAAGGCATCACACTGCTGCACCAGCGCTGGAAATATCCAGATCCCAGTGATAGCATATTTCCATACATTCTGTATGGCACGTCTAAATATTTGGATGGTTTTAATATTTTGTACCAGCTGTGGAAACTGGTTTGCTGCTAGGTGACTGTAAAAGTGAGATTTGGTAAATAATTATTAGAAATCTTATACTAACACTACGATTGAAACAATAGACAAAAGTATAGCCAAGCAATTAACTAGTAGAGGTAGGTACTCCTAAGTTTTGCAGTTCTTTGCTTTTATGACTAGATGTTCCTGTATGCTAGATGAGAACAAAGCTGAAACTGACCACATGTGATTGAAACTGCGTTAAGCTTCAAGATCAAAGAACAAGGACAAGAATAAAGACTTCAAGGACAGCCAGCAAGAACTTCAAATGGGTCGGTGGTCGCAAAAGCAGCCCTTCGACTCAAATAGATCTTTCATTGCGCGTGATCGGATATAGGCAGTACCATGATAATCGGTTGCCATCATTTTTATGTATACGTACACTAATCTAATTAACATGCAATTAGGTATTCTATATAACCTGTTTGTGCTAAAGCTGTGGTACGCACGCTAGTTGGAACTATCCCCTGTGCATCCAGCGCTGCAATAAAGAATGCCTGCTTTCTAAAACTCCAAAATGAGTCTTAGATTCTTTGACCAGCTTTTCAGTATCACCAGTGTGGTGTGTGGATGCCTTGGGGACAGGGGATCCTTATGCTTTACAGCAGCTGTACAAGCTGTGCAAGGCTTGTGGAGGCTCAGTGGAGGTTTTAATTAACCCTTGGTTTAGTTGGTGCCCACATTTTGTGCACAGGGACAGACGTAGCTTCAGAGTGCCCAAGGATATCTCTCCTCTCTCTGTTTTTGTTTCCTCCATTCTCAAGTAACTAACTTGGGGCTGCACTAATTGTCCCCACTCAAAAGTACCTTAAGTCTGCTTGGCTGACCAGTTTTAAACTTCCGCGTTGCTCACCAGCGCTCCTGGGCATGCTTGCTACAACCAGCTGACCTCCTCCCATGGATGCTGTGCGAAAATTCTGCTCCAGGGCCCATTTGCTTTCCCCACAGCTCCAGAGGGTCCGAAGAGCTGAGTGTGCATACAGGCCCATGCTGCGGAAGACACTGTGGGACCTAAAAGCGAGATAAGGAAAAGGCAAAGTTTTCCCCAGTGTCCCAGCGCTGAGCGTGGCAGGGCCGAGCCCTCCCTGCGCACTTGCCTCCAGGCAGCGACTGCCCCGTCTGGCCGCAATCGCCCCCACGCTCAAGCACAGACAAAGGGATGCACTCGCCTCGCCATGGCTCTGGGCCCCTCACTGCCGAGCGCTCGCCTTGCCGCGGCTCCTGGCTCCTCAGCACCGAGCTCTCACCTCGCCGCGGCTCCCGGCCCCTCAGCGTCGAGCGCTGCCCACCTGCACTCGCTCCCGCACTACTCCCAGACACAACGCACGCACCAGCCCATAGCATGGCGGAAGCTGTGGTGCGCTGTCCATGGCCGCGCGTGAACGGCCCAAGACGTGTGGCAACAATGGGGCGGGGGAACTGTAACGGGAAGCAGCGCCATCGAGCGCTCAGGGCCCGTGGCTGCAGCCGGCACGCTCGCTGCTGACCCCCGGTGAGCACAGCCCGGCACTGCAGGCGGCCACGCTCCGCTCCCAGGCACTGGTCACACGGCGGACGGCGCATCGCAGCCCATCGGGCGCACAGCCGTACCCGCAGCGGTGAACCCTTCCGAGCTGCTCTGTCTGTCCCGATACACCGGCGAGGACCGATGGGGTGAGCAGCTGTACTGGCCTGTAAGCGACACGAAGCAGCTACGAGAAAACAATTCGCGCCCCCGTGATAACAGGGACTAACGGCAAGAGTTAAGACCTGTTGTAAGCACCGGGAAGGGGTGGCGAGAACAGCCGGTTACCTTACCCGCTACCGAAACACCGCAGCGGCACCCCGCGGTAACGCACACTGCGCAGCAGCGCTGGGCGCTCTGTACTGCGCATGCGGCATGCTCGAGTGAGGGCAGCAGAGTGCGGTAGGCCACGTTGCGCATGCGTACTCTGGCAGCGAACGTGCACCGTCGCAGTCCGGACGGCCGCCGAGCGCCTGGCAGGCTGGGCTGCGCTGCGCGTGTCTGGTACTGCTCCAAACGAGTCGTCATTGCTCATGCGTCCGTCCGCCGGCAGGCTGCAGTACCGCGCGCTGAGCACGTGAGGTCAGCAGTAACCGGGACCGGCTGCCGCTGCTAGCGCCCGCGGCCCGCCACTCCCGTACGGAAGCCGACCGCGTTCTGTGGCGTCATTGGCGGAGGCGCCGCCCTGCGACATCCGGTGGGCGGTTCTTTCCTCTCGGCGGGCGGCTGCCTGCGGTGCGTGAGCTGGAGGCTTCACTGGAGAGCCCCAGCCGGGACCGGGGGGACCTTTCTCAGCGCCGGCCTGGCTCGGCGCGGCTGCTCAGTCGCTCTTCTTACTCCTCGAGCTGGCGAGCTGCGAGCGCAACCCGAACCGGGCCGTCGGCAGCGCGGTGCGCGCAGGACCGCCCTGCCCGCGGCTGCCGCTGCCCGGTTCAGGTGCACGCCGGTGCTGTTCTGCAGACGAGCGGTCTCGATGGCGTCTCGGTGGCCCGGCAGGACCCGAAGCGGGGCTGGCGGCTGTCTCTGTGCCGCGGTGGTGGCAGGTTCCCTCCAGGCTGGTCGGTGGCGCGGCAGCCGCGGGGCCCTCGGAAGGCGCGGAGCAGCGCGGGAGCGGCCGCCTCCTCGCCCAGCCCACGGCCCTCGTCTTTCCCGGCGACGGGGTGGCCGCCCGGGGCCTTGGGCGGGAGCGGCGCCTGGGGAGCGCAGTGGGGATCTTACAGGTGGGACTGGGGGGGCCTGGTCAGGCTGGCCGGGGCCCTGCGATGGATGTAAAGGGTTTCTGTCGGAGCAGCGCTTTGTTACTGCTCTGCTCGTGTAACTCGGTAAACTTTACTAGTAAGGTTCAAAACAAAGGCTTCCAGGGAACTTTTAACGCAGACCTGGATTTATATTGACTTACGTTCCTCTTATGGTACCCTGGAGCACCTGTTCTCCCTTATTGCCCAATACTTGCTCGGCGTCGCAGTAAATAGTCATAGTTTTTCATGAACTCTGAATTTTGTGGTTTATTTTTTTCTAGCTTTAAGAATCTACAAGTGACCCTGAAGTTAAGTTGTATACTGGTTCCCCCCAACTTGCCTCTGATATTTAGGGTGGGGTAGGTGCTAAAATACCTGAGAAGACAGATAATTTTTGGTCCACTGAAAGACTATGCAAGTTGGAAAAGGTGGGGTTTTAATATGCGCATAGTTCTCGATAGCTGTTTCTATTGTGTGCTTTGCAACGTAACCTGCTTGCTTTTGGAAACTTTTGCTGTTGTCTCTGGAGAGACTGCTGTCATGATTCCCTTATAGGCAGGGATTTCCTTATAGGCAGGGATTCTATGGTGAGTAGAAAGCTGGAAGCTGAGCAAAAGCCTCAAAACTACCTATTTATGAAAATATTTTGAGTTATGTCAGTAATGTATGGATGTCTTCTGTGAGAAAAGAAGGTCCGGATGTTGATGTCTGGCATTTTGAGTTTTAACCACTTTGGTGTAGGTAGTTATGGCAGCTAGTTTTCTGGCTCAGTCCATATAGCTTTCTGATGCACAATGCTATCCTCAGTCTTGTTCTACTGTGATTTGTAATAAGACTCCAGAATAGAATATCATCAGCCTGTTTTGTCTTCTGAAGATTTCTTTATTACAACTGGAGTAAAGAAGGGTGTGTTTTGTTTCTGCAGCTTTGTCAGGATGATGCAAGTGCATTGGTCAAGTTCCTGACGTGAGTTACTGGAATTGGGTACAACCTTTTTTGCCCTGTTTATTTGATGGAGTTATTAACAGAAACTGGGAGGCTGGAGACTGTGAGAAGAAAGAATTTTGATTTATGCAGCAGTGCCCAAACTGAGACACCAGATGTGAAATTCATTGAAAGAAAGGGGTACAGAGTTGCCTGATATGGACTTTGCAGTAGAGAAGTAGAAGTGGTGACTTCACGTGTGCAAGTTGAGATGGGAAGGAGAGAGGAGCTGGTCAAAAAGAGAGCCATGAAAAACAGAGAGTACTAAAAGTGGGGAGGTAGAGTAGGAGCCTTTAGACATATGGTAGGAGATCGGGCCAGGCATAATGGTATTCCACAGTGTGTTTCTCAGAGGAGCAAAGGGGCCATGAAGCAGAAGGAAAATCAGGGCTGTTCAGGAAGGTGCTGTAAGAAGGTCCCAGGCTTGTTCCAGTTTCTGTCCCTTGCCTAGAGAATTCCCAGCAGAAAAGAGTTCAGCCTTCAGACATGGGGGTTGCAGGTGCATCAAAGGCAGCAGCAGTAGAAATGGATCCCTTGGAAGTGAAGAGGGCTATGATACTGGTTGCTAAGAACAGGTTTGGCTGAATAGAGAGAATGTAAAATTAATTTATGCTTAGAAACAAAGCAAAGTGTTGGTGTAGAGAGTAGAACAACTTTTATGAGGACCACAATGGTTTGCAAGTGTTTGGAAGATTTGTTCAAAGTTTGAAGATACATAATGGCTTGAGATTGTGCTTGAAAAATCAGGGTTGCATGCAGTGTGTGAAGTTTGGATGCATGTTTTAGGACAGTGAAGGATGCCTCTCTTGGTCTGGAGTTTGGTAGAAGATAACAGGAAGGATTGCCGCTATGACATGATAATTCGAGATCTGTCAGTTTTGTGGTAATGTGAGGGGTGAGGTTTTTGGTGGGACAAAGTGGATTCAAAGTCTGTAAGGATGGTAGAGAAGCTGTAACTGTGGTATTTTGGAGTTGGAGGGCAGGAAGGTGTGATGGTTTCCAGCTGATCATTGTTGGTGCTGTGAGGTACTGGACAGATAATGGGATAAAATGTTTTATTTGTCTTCTATTTGCAATGTTGGTCTTTTCCAGCAGAATGGTGAAGATTAATCTAGTCACGCAACTTCTAATAGGAAAAAAGTTCAACTATTCATTGGAGTATTGTGCTTATGATGCACACACTATCCAAACTGAAGTTTGGACTGCTTTGCTCTACTGTAGGCTGCAAGTTTGTTTCTTAAGTACTCATCTAAAGATGTTTCTGCTGCTGTGACCATGAGTTCATTCAAAAGTGATTATGGTGAAAGGAGACCTTAGCATGCAGCAAATTAGATCTCTGTTGTCCAAAGTCTGTTGAGTGAGATGTTTTGTGTTGTCTGGGGGCTTTTAAACGATTACATGTCAGTATATAGTTCCATAATCACTAAAACTGTGCATGCCAAGCCTCCAGTGGCCATTGCTGTTGACTGAAAGTACAGCTTGAAAACGTGTCTGCCAAGTGAAAGGCAAATATCAAAAATTACTTTAGGCTTGATCTTGAAGAGCCAAGCGGGTGACAGGGAATTCTAAAATTCCTTTCAGTGTTGTAAGACTTTTCCTGTTTCTTCTTACAAACTGCCAGGAATTTTGTGAGGAAAAGAATTAAGACTTTAGAAGGCGAGTGTGTCATATGCTGCACTGACTGGGTCCTCAATTCAAACTCCAAATAGTGTTTCTTTTGTCAAGCTGTCAAGCCTCACAGTGATACTGTGCTAGCAGGTATGCTGAGGTTTTGGGGAATTAAAAATCTAAAGTTAGTGCAGAGAGTAAGTGCTTTATATACATTTTCACAATAAGATGTTTCCAGAGTAACATAGATTCTGTAATAGAGGTAAAAGGTCTGTTGAAGTCTTATGGCTTTATTAGATGATTCTGTATGTGTTCTGACTTGTGCCGTAATGTGTTGACCAGGCTCTGCTTAAAATACCTTCTTCTGTGTTTGACTTCGAAGTTGCTGTTTTGTTATGTGTTTTTTACTTGGATCATCTTTGTAGTATGGGAAACTCACTGTCCAAATTTTGGTCCTTGGGTAACATGATCATTTTCTTTTTTTTTTTTTTCTTCTTGTAACTCTAAGGAATAATGAGCACAGGCTGACTCATCGCCAGCAAACAGGGCTGAAGTAAGTTTTCTTGGGTGCCAGTGCTTAGCTTTTCTAATGACTCCTGTAGACAGCAGGATGTTATCTGAGGTTGCAGAGGTAGGTCTCATTCTTTTTGTGTGATTTATGGTTTTTTTTCAGCAACACAGGTTTTGCATCCTTGGATTCAGAATTCAGTAGGCTTTATCTCCACCTTGAAGGGATTTCTGAATGACTTCTCGGATGGCTCATGGAGGATTGCTTTAACAAGATTGCATTGTGTTCCCTGATGATCCATTTCTGAAATGGCCTGCACTCTGACCAAAACACTACAGAGGTGCCCCAAGGTGTTTTTCTTATGTAGTGCATGCAAGATAAGGCCTTTGCAATATCTAAACTTAAGAATGTTATTCAGTGTGTATGCCTCTCCCTCATTACTTACTAGTATGAATGCTGCTTACCGAGTGGTTATTCCCCTGTGCTGGTCTTGGAAAAATTATAGGTGTGTTTGCAAGAAACTGCAAATGAACTACTAAATCCTGATATATCTGACCTGGTTCTGTGTGGGGCCAACTCTGTAGGCCTTCTGCAATAATCATAAAATCACAGAATGTGTGACCAGAGCAAACTGTCTACTGTTGAGTGAGAAATGTTACACAGTGATAGTCTTCTCACCACTCATCTCTGAGCCCCGTATCTGGTATGCATCTTTTCCTGGTTTCAGCTGGGATATAGTTAACTGTTTTCCTAGTAGCTGGTACGGTGCTGTTTTGAGTTCAGTATGTGAAGAATGTTGATAACACTGATGTTTTCAGTTGTTGCTCAGTAGTGTTTAGACTATAGTCAAGGATTTTTCAGCTTCTCATGCCCAGCCAGGGCACCTGACCCAAACTGGCCAACAGTGTATTCCATACCATGTGATGTCCCATCTAGTTTAGGAACTGGGAAGTGGAGGGGCAGGGAATCGCCGCTCGGGGACTGGCTGGGTGTCGGTCAGCGGGTGGTGAGCAATTGCCCTGTGCATCATTTGTACATTTCAATCCTTTTATTACTACTGTTGTCATTTTATTAGTATTATCATTATTAGTTTCTTCTTTTCTGTTCTATTAAACCGTTCTTATCTCAACCCAGGAGTTTTACTTCTTTTCCTGATTTTCTCCCCCATCCCACTGGATGGGGGGGGAGTGAGTGAGCGGCTGCGTGGTGCTTAGTTGCTGGCTGGGGGTAAACCACGGCAATCTTCACCTTCGTGTGTGTATGAGCATTTAAAGGAAAACTTTTCATTGTGGAAATACGACATGATGCAGGCGATCCATCCAGGTTTCCTGCGTGTTGTTAGTGCATGCCTTGCCCACGGGTCTGGTCCTGGCATTGTGTTCAGATCTTGTTTCAGTCACCGGAAAGTGCTGAACTGTAAGAATGATTTCAGTGCGATATGTTTTTCTTTTTGTCCCCAGTTCCAGTACACTCCCTGAAAAAAAGTGGTTTCTTGTCTCATATCCAGAACCCTTACAACAGTTTTGGCTGATATTTCATGCTGATGTTTTGAAGATTTTTGAGAAAAGAATCATGAGGGAAGAAATGCTGAAAATGCACATTAGAAGGTTTTCATTGAGGATATGAGGCAGTGAGGGCAAATGAATGGCTGACATATTGAATAACTAATCTTCCCTCTTTCTATGGGAAATTGTACTGGTAGAGTTAAAGAAACTGGACCCAAACTGTATTACTACAGTTTGTGGCAGTTTTGGACGAGATTGGTGTTCATGTGGCATTTTCATGTTATTTTGGGTCAATAAGATGTAGAATTTATTGGTATGCATATGACTTGGAAGTTGCTATTCTGACTGTTTTGATATGTGTTGTTGTTCTGAAGAGACGGTTTATGCCAAATTCCTGCTGCCTGTTTTGCAGTTAACTGGGCTGGTTGGTTTGGCAACAAAGCTCCCACAAACTTCATCACTTCCACCTCCCCACACCACCACCACCCCAAATAGTGTATTGCAAAGTATAAATTGTTCTCTTTATTTTACCTTTACAGCATTCATTGCTACACAGTACAGCAGGAAGTTCTCAGGTACTTTCTGAGATGGAGGGTGATGCCAAGTCATCTGTGATGGAAGAGCAGTGTTCTCTTACTTAAAGATCATTTTTTCCACAGGTGTCCTGGATAGTCACTGAGTGTTTTCTACTGGAAAAACACATTTATAAAACAGGTTAGATGAATGTCAGTGTTAGTATAGTTTCTGTTAGTGACGAGTACTAGAGTTTAGATGGAAAGCTTAGCTTTAACTGGTCTTGTTAAAGCAGACAGCAGAGTTTGCC